AATGAACGTCTTCTTCTTAGCTACGCTACTTTGCTCCGTCATAGATAGGCTATAGGCCTTGTCCTCTTCTATTCCTGCGGTAAGTAAGTGTGGGACTCATTTCATTTGCTACAGGGAGCCTATTGATAGAGCAAAGCCTATGGCTTGACAGATAGGCAAAGTGAACCCGACACTGTCAACTCTTTCACAAGGTACAGCCTGAAAAGCCCCAGTCAATCATCCGTACTTGTCCCGGCATGAAAGTGAAGGGTGAGACCCATCTGAGGCTAAACCCTGGCACCTAACCAGAGCAATTAAACAAGGTAGTTTAGGGCTTCTTAAATAGAATTCCTCTCCAGGGACTTCACTTCGCTTCGTTCGTTCCCTCCGTCTTTCATTGTCAAGGTTTTCGATAGATCTTGTCTAGTAAGGCAGGCAGGTACCTAAGCTGTACAGCCAAGTTCGTTTACTCACAAAGTCTTGGTTCAAAATAGGCATAGGTTTACAGTATGAGGCACCTCGAAAAGGCGTGAAACCTACGACAAGATAATCTTTTTATTCATAGTGAGGAATGAAGTCAAAACGCGAAAGGTAGGAGAGGGTGCACGAGACTGACGAAGCGAAGTGAAGTCAAAGAGCTCAAAAGGAGAGAGGAAATTGACGACCATAGTACGAGGAGGGGGTAATTGAGAAAGATCTTAAGAGTAAGAGTGGCGTTGAGCCATGATTTTCACTCTGCTCAGTTCGAATCCAAGCATGGTAAGCCGGATTGGGAGTGTAGCGTCCTTCGGCATCACAGGTATATTGAGGAAGACAAGGGTGCCGCAGGTAGCTCGACTGAAAGGAGAGGTTCGACGAAGTTGACTCGACTGAAAGGAGAGGAAAGAAGGAGTCTTCGCGCTTTCGGTATCATAGGGAGACCACGGTCTCGTAAGGACCCCCATTTTGGTCAAATGGAATGCTCCACCTTCTGGATGGATGAAAGTGAATACGGATGGTATGGCTTCGGGCTCTCCGGGTAATGCGGCTATTGGACTTCTTTTCCGAAATGGCGAGGGTAAAGTGGTCTTCTGTTTTTCGGCTACTATTGGTATACGATTCGCTTTTCAGGCGGACCTTCTTGCGGCCATCAGAGCTATCGACCGGTACTTCTTCATTCCGGGTATGCTCGTAAGCAGATGCTAACTTAACCGAAAGGTTTTGGGGTGAACTCAAACCAGGTAGCTGGAAAGGTCTTATCTTAAAAGAAAGTGATATTCAGCCACAATCTCTTCAAAGACAAAAGCTATGGAACAACGGAAAGATTACAGAAGCTCCGTCTCAGGTGATTCCCCGGTTGAAGGAAGACTGGCTACTTGACGTATGGGCTACATCCTCGGTTTCAGAATCAGTCTCGTCTTTAGCGATAAGCACTAAGGATCAAGAAGTCAAGGATCTCTACTCTTTTCTATATCCAATTATGCTCAAAGCTTGTCCCAGTGTTGGGCATAGCCTATTGTCAAAGGATCGTTTCGCTGGAATGCTTGCTTGAATCTGGGTGACCCGAGTGGAAAGCCCATCATATCACACAGGATCGTGCGACAAAACCCTTTCTCGGCCCTAAGGAATTGAAGTAGAGCAATTGAGCATAAAGTGCTGTGAAAAACCAAGACACCTCCTCAATGAAGCAGGGAAGAAGGTGAGGATCGATATAATTGAGGAGCAGAGGTCAATTACATCGAGCCTGTCGGCTTTACGAGGCCTTCCGCTAGCCAGAGGTCTTTGTCGGGGTCACTATTTCTACATCAGCAGGTCTTTCTCATCGAGCTGGGTCGACCTTGTCCGCCTTTATCTTCAACGGCGGATTGGCCGATGCGTATGTGTCTGGGTCAGAGTTGTTCGTTCGTTCCTTCGGAAGGAGTGACTTCTGCCCGAGCAGCAGAAAGTGATTCGAAAACAGAACCCTGGCAACATCCGATAAAAGTGCTTGCCTTGGCCGACTTTCATTCAAATGTCCTTTCAAAGATTCCATTCAGTCAGCGCTTTGATTCATTCTAGCTCTTAGGGATTTCAAAAGAGAATATAGAAAGAGGGTTAGTACACGCGGGACTTATGCCTTTCTTTTCGGATCAATGAGACAAGGAGTTACTCAGAACAGTAGGTAGGGCCTTTGCCAAAGGGGCGCAAGCGAAGAAGGGGCACTGAAGGCGCTGCGTGACGGATGCCCAGAAGATGATTCTGTATAGTAGATATGCGAAAAAGAGACCTTTACCTAAGACATTTGAAGTACACAGGGATGTACTTTAGAAGCGCAGTGAAGGGTCGACAAAGTTGAGGCGAAGTTCAGTCATAAAGAAAGTCTCAGACACATAAAGAAAAACGTAGAAGAAATGAGCGTATTATGGTACGAGCAGTCTCTCGCTCACGACTTCGGTGCTTATTGGGCAACCTCCTTCTTTATCCCCTCACTACAGCGAGCCCCGCTCTCTCTCCTTTCTTTTGTTACCGGGCTGCTGATACAGAATCAAATAAGTCTTTGCTTTCGTCTTCGTGATTGAAATTCTTTATGCGGGCATTAATAAACCGATCGTAGTCGCTCCAAGCACAATCATCACTGGCTTGTTTTCGTTAAGTTCCTTGGCTGACGCACGGCCTATAATTACCCTTGGATTTAGAAGGTCCCCGTATACGACCAATTTGGTGGATACGAAGAGGGCTCAGAATAAGAAAGAAGTCGTGGGTCTCAGTCAAAGGCCTACTAGAAGGGCAAGGGCCAAAAGCCTGAAAGTCACTGGTGTGACTGCCAAGCAAGAAAACGGATGGGCGGCTGCATGCGATAGGTGGTTTAACGTAGTCCTCTCTTGGCCCTTACTTGCCTCTACCACCTATATTCATTCCCTTACTAGGTGGGGTGGTAAAGTCACCATGTTGTCTAACATACTAAATAGTTTCATCCGCGGGGTGAGGGCATCTATCCTACATAGACATAGAAGTAAGTACCTACCTTCTTTCTCTATCTTTCCGTACCGTATTCATTAGTGATTCACTTTCTATGAAAGCTAATACTCTTGCTTGCTTTAAGAAAAATGCATTTCAAATGGCTAGATGTGCTTCGTACCTGCGCCTCGATATGTTTACTAATAGGGCGTCCCTTCTCCTTCCATAAGAAATGGAATGTTCGCGGTCATGTAACGCTCACGTAACGACCTCCTCACTCTCTGGTAGGTCGCGTCACTCATGTTCTAGGGCTAGGACACGTTGAGGACAACGAGCAGCTATGTGACCCCTATTATGACAGTGATGACACTGAATGGAAGAACCATTAGAACGGGACTAACTAGAGGAACCACTAGGAGCGTAGGAGAGCAAAGTGAGACTTGGAGAACGAAGCGAAGCGAAGTGACGTCATAGACAAAAGAATCTCGACTTCAAGGTTACATCGGATGACTCGACCATAAACAAAGACCAGCTAACGATGCTGGTAGTTCAATCTTGTATTGTAGGCATT